ATCTTAAAAATATATAGACTCGTGATGCAATATGGCATTGTTTATAACCAAAATAATATTCCTCAATGTAATAGAATATTAGGTATATCTCCCAAAATATTCAATCTTTATAAGGCTTTCAATACTCCCTTTATGGAGCTCTTATTATTTATTTTTCTTCTGGAGCTTTGGAGTATTTTTCTACTACAAAATATAACATTTACATGCATTGACTTCTGTAATCAAGAAAAAAAAATCTCTTACATCCCTTTGATCATAATATATTTACTGGATCATTCTTCGAGAATATTGAAGTGGAATAATATATAGATTAGAAGTTAGAACTAAGGTTTTGAAATATCAAAACATGTCTTTATAATGAGATTTTTTTTTTACTAAAAATAAGCCACTTCAGGTGGTAATTAAATATTATAAGACCTTAGGTAGTGTCTCATATACCCATATATTGTGTTTGATGAACATGATGACTCTTATTTAATTTAGGAGATTATACATCTTAAGGATTTCTTTTCACAATTCAATATTCTTCAGGAATATTTAGATTCAAATAGTCAATATTTTAAAAGAAATATAATTATATGTGACCATAATAGTGACTTTGATGTGTCCATATGTATAACCACAATAGTCGTGATAGCCTATTATATTCATGCAGGGCAATCAATTATTTTTCAATCACTTCAGGGAATGAATATGTAACATGATTTTTTTTAAAAAAAAAATCTTTCCTAACAGTGGAAAAATGGAACCAAATATTGAGTGTATGAATTGTTTTCTTTTGCTAACACTTTAGAGGAAATTAGATTCTCAAACACTCTTTTGTAATCTCAAACCACATATAACATGCAATTACATATATTGGTCACACAAATTTTAATGTAACTTAGTATATCACATTAAAATATAATATCATTGCATGAGGATAAAATGCATTGAACAATTTACTTTTAAAAAAAAATCATTAGGCCATTTTACTTTTGGAAAATGGTAAATAATGCATGAGTAAAACATATCTATTTTTTTATTCTCTTTGAGAGATTATGAACTTTGGAATAAATATCAAATTTGATTTACTTTGAGGATAAAATTTGACACTTCAATTGAAGTCCTCTTTATATGTCATATAGTCCGTATTTCTCATATACGAAACAACAAAAACATTTATCACATTTGGGATCAGGTAATAAATTATGCATAACTTTTTTTCACACGAACACATGTATCAATGCTAGTGAAAAATCATGTCTTTTAAAATCAATGGTTCTAACTTTATAGATATATGACCAAGAATCCAACAATGGCAATATTAATTTTGAGTCCAAGTAGTCAATGTATGATATTACTTTTATACAAAATGCAAGGCTAGCATTACTTCATAAGAAAAAATGTCCTCATTAAATTTCAAGAACATATGTGCTAATCAATTCAACATCAAATAAGTAGATTAATCTAATATTGTCAATGATGACCTATCCAAAAGAAAAAAAATCTACATTCTCACGTTCAGAAGCATTTGTCATGCCGTTCTAAGATATGATTGGACACTAAAAATAGCGTTTAAGGGGTTCTAGCTTATGATAGAACTAACTTTGCATTGCATTATTTTCTTTAAAAAAAATATAATATAGAGGTCAATTATCTACCGAATTAGTAATAGCTTAGACATATACATGCTATTAAAATTACTGTGTGCATGCCCCCAAAAAAAATCTATGCATTTAAACATGAAGGGTCATTATTGAGATGTAAAAAAAAAAATTTATCAAGCACACAATATATTCAGGTTGTCAAGGTAGCTTTAGATTTTGCATGAAGTGTGCTTGTTCCAAGAAAGGAAATAAAAAAACAATCTGTAGAAATAATTTACAGTAGGACAATATTTGGCAAATCTTTGACAAAGTGAAAGGTGCAGCCAAAAAAATATTATAAAAAAATCGGTCATTGAAGATTCAACCATAGATTTGCAGCCATGAAAAGGAAAAAGATCCGGCCAGTGAAAATTTAAATGAATTAATATGGGTGACGTTTTTTTCTTTTTTCTCTTTTTTTTTTTGATGAAAAATATTGGTGATTACAGCAGCCCTCAAAAGCTGATCTTAAAAGAATACAGCAGCCCTCAAATCATCCATGAATACGGATCTAAAAAAA